CCTTTTATTTTTTCAGTTTACATACCATCAGTGGCGTATAAAGTAATTAGCAATCACAACTTGTGGTTGCTGTTTAAAAGCAAATGATCCGACATGAGCTGCTACGCCGTTCTGCCATAATTTTTAAGCAATGTTTAAAAAACAAGCCCTGACATTTTAAACCATTCTGTTTTCTGTTCTCTGTTCTGTGTTCTTTGTTAAGTTTGATCGACTCCTTTCGTTGTCTTTGAAGGACATGTTCCACACTTAAAGACGTTGGAGTAAGCATGATATATGATGCGATAAGCTCAAATATAACTATTGGCATGCTTTTAAGCGGAAAAAGCTGCTCTAGACAGTACAGTTTCTCTGTTTAGTAAATACTGCTTACCAACCAGGGTGAACAATTTCGATTAATCCGTGCTTATTCGATCTGTCCTCAGCACGATTGTCAGCTGGAATGCGAGAAGTCATGAGTGCTGACGGAGAGTTCGATGTTTGGGCTGACGGCAGAGTTTTTAAACTTAAGCTTCCTTTTTCCCTTTATTTTTTAACTGCTTCAGACATCACAACTCTGGCTTGCCGTCGACCATGGCATACTTCTCATAAGATGATAAGATGGTGTGTGGAAGTTTGGCTCCTGCTCCGTTATTATCATCATTCATTTATATAGTATTTATATTTATAAGTGTTATTGTAAATAAAGACTATGATGCCTAGAAATAAAGGTTCTGGGGCATCTCGGTTAAGTTTCAGGATTTCGTTCGGGGTAGTAGGTGCCCGCTGGGAATAAACGTTCGCGTCCCTTCGTGGTGCCCTCCGGAATCGGGTGCCTCTTGAAACCAAAGCTTGTGGTGTCAAAAACATTGGTTTTGGTTCTTCAGTGAGCCGATCCAAGATTTTGTCAACAGGCAAGATACAAGTGTAGTAGTGCTCCTGGGCTTTGGTGGCTCCCGGAAGTGAAAATTTGTGGCCCTTTGCGGTCTCCCTGGAATTTGGTGCTTTTTGGCAATATAGGCTATGTGGTTTCGAAAGGAAGGTTTAATGTGGCCCAAGGGGCCGCTCATGAGTGGCCCAAAGCGTGGATGGCATGGCCCCATACCGTCCGTCACCCACCCGTACGGTACACTCCTGTCTGTGTTCTTCGATTACAAGCAGGAAGAGGTCATCAAATTTAGACAGCCGTGGAGCATTGTCGTGGCGTCATTCAATGAAGTATTTTATTTATCCCCAATGGCTGGCACTTCAAGGAGGAGCCCAACTGCCACCTTAAACCGCTGCCCTCCCGCAGCCTCCTGGAGCGGCCTAGAAGCGGCACCATTTGTGGGCACTTGTGGTGTCCACCATGACAGGCAGGTGCTGTGGTCAGGCAGTGGCCTGCTTCTTTTCCAGTAAATGGTTCATCTTTGCACTAAAATAGGATGCAAAATTTGTGTTTTTAGTTTTGAGAAACCGCCAGACGGCTATGAAGAAACATTTCTAAAATATAAACGCCCATGTGCTGTCCCGTGCTTACCTTTACGGGATAAGCTCTTGAGGATAAGCGCAGCTCATTACTTAGAATAGTGTCAATCTGCTCGTTGTGTAGCACCGCAAGACCATTTAATCAGCATCTCCATGTATACTTAAGGCCGTTAACTCAAAAGAATTACTTTCGGCGCATAGCATCGCAAAACGGGAGCTGCAAGCCTTTCTTCCTTATACCAACCCCAAATTATGACTAGAGTAAATCGGATACAGTTCGTGAAAAAAAATGAGTTTCAGAGATAGGACGGACAAGGTGCATGGTTTCGCCCCCCTCCCCCAATGAAAAAAGCAATGTATCACCCCTGGCTGTGAACTGCGCCGAATCATCTTAAATATGGCTATTCCAGTTCAAAACCCCCCACACATGTGGAACACTGACTAAGATAGCTTGTATGGGTGTGTTGTGACCTTTTTCGTAATATTTTTCTATGCTTTTTCCGTGGTGGCATGCCTCTTACTTGTAACTGCATTTTCGGTGGCGGTATTTTTCAGCCATTTCATTGTCAACCTCATATTTGCCATATCCGGTAGCTGTGCAAATGTTTGCGTTATTTATGACAGAACGCAGTTCGCCATCCAGACATGGAAGTAACAACGCAATCTAACGGTTAGCCCTTAATTCGTTGGCACCATTAGTGCGAACTTATCGCAAACACAGTTGTCTTTTACACCGGTAAACACCGGTCATGTTAATCTTGACCATGAAAACATTACAGCCAGTGCTGTGGGACATTCGCGTGAAATCTCCATGACGTCAAACATATCTGGATGACTTTCAAATAGGCGGCACGTGGTGGGCTGCACAAATTTGCATGCATGAAGCTTAGAAACAATATATTTTGGAGTCTTAAAACGGGCGTGCCTCTTAACTGCAGGGAATGATCAAGAAAATGACTATCAGCTCAAACCATTATACAAATTTGGAACAACTTTTTTCCGGGCATATCCCATATCTGAAGATATTAAAGCAAGCATCAGACTTGATAAAATAAGCTCATTTATAACTATTTATATACTTTTCAGCGGAAAAGACTGCTCAACACAATTTTTCGTAAATGTTCTCTAATACGTCAGGTTAGACTGCGTCATCATTGTGTCATAAACCTTGCACAACATTGACTGGGGGCCGACTGACGGCCGTTGTATCTGGAAATCGTGCTCATGAACGCCGGATATGAACGACACGACAATTATATGTTTCTTGGTCTTGATCACTCCATGGCCAATGAAATGGCAGGATTTGAATGACGTTGTTTTGGCGTCATGGATGCTTCTGTGACTTTGGAATAGTCTCCCCGATCTAGTCTGCTCGTCTTTGTGGGCGTATAGCGCAGAAACTAAAAGGGTTTAGGCCTTGAGAAAGGCATGACTGTGAACTGCATTTAATGATCTTTAAGATTGCTACTTCGGTTCAAAACCCTTTACAGATGTGAAACACTTTATTTAACAATCCTTGCCCCCCCCCCCCCCTCCCCGTTCTCAGTGCCCTAATCAGAAGCCGAGAGCGACATCCTTTCACCCATCCTGGCTATCGTTCTAAAAATGCTTCCGAAACAACTTGACTTCAAAGCCCTCAATGCATCATTCTATAACAACGTTCAGTACAAAATGGCCTAAGGTGATCTGGAAGAGAAGGAAACCGCCAAGAATGGGTGTTAAGAGGAACCATAACGCATCCCAAAAGCACACTAGATTTGAGGCAGGGTGTTCTGTTTACGATTTAATCGTCCTAGCACCGAATTTAGCGGGAAGAACAGTGAATGAGTAAAACAACTTACTGGCTTAATCTCCCGAGGATTTCGGTTTTTCTCGCAGAGATGGGAACCACAACGGATTGATGTCTGCTCGTGGTGGTTTGCTAGTACCGTTGTGTACTGTGTCCTCGATATGTATAACTTTCCACTGTCGCTCCCCGTCGATGACGATTATCTCATCAAATGTTGATCCTTGATCGCCTTCTGACCATGGATACTCAACCTCACCAGACTTCAGAGTCTCACCTTGGATGAATTGCCTTTCTTTGTTCGTTCAGCGTGACCAAGTGAGTGTGGCGTGCTTCTCTTTTGTAAGTCATGCGAGAACTGCATGCAATTGCGTATATGTCGTTTTTCGTGCGCTCTTCAGGTTCCGGTTAGCTCAGTGGGGTAACGATGGACTCGCAATAGGAGGGGCACGATGCCAATCCAGGCAATTCCAGGGGAATTCAGGGGCTGGAAGTCATACATGTTTTAACATACATAACACCATCTGATTTATTTCACCACTGGATAACACTTGAAAATGGCTGGAACATTAACTGGCCGCAACGTTCTATACACACTAAGGAAGATGGTCTGAATACATATGACATTCAAGAAAAAAACTAATGCTTCGCCTCAAGCATTCCGTAACACAGTAATCACAACGACCTTTCCAAATCTCCATCAAGTGGTCCAGAGAGGTCCGCCCAACTTTTCCAAACGTCTAACGGCTTTTCGCCAAAGTTTTCAAAGGCAAGTTCATGCATTACCGACCAATCAACGAGTGCCGTACATAGTTCCGACTCTGATGGCTGGCCTCACCACGCCTCCAGCTGCCAGTGAGCTCTGAAGCATATGTGAGGCTAAATCTGTCCATAACTGAGAACGAGGTGGACCACTGCAAAACAAGTTTCCAGTGACTGCTTTTTTTGCCAAGGAATTTGTTACCCCTAAATGAATGTTGTTTAGCCAGATTTAGTTTAATCTGGCAAGCCGGCAGAAATAAAAAAGTCTCAACATCACCCGTATTTACCATGCCACTGAATGATTTTTATCGACGTTTCAAAATAGCTAGCGTTGGTTGATATCCTACAGAATGCTTTGTGAGACATTTCATGGAATACAGTCCAGCAGTGAGAGTTGTGACGCAATACTAAAATATGTAGATGTAATGTAGGGTGCATGTGAAACTGCGTGAATCTGTTTTTATATATGCGTGCCATACACAGTATGCACCCTGCACATTAGGTCATCACAGTTGCAACACTTCACAGTGCAAACAGCGCGGTCCATTCAACTGTTCCCCCAACTAGGTCCGCTATTTACTCGGGCCCGTCCGGCCCTCCAGCTCTATTCGTTCGTCGCCCCGGTCCTGCTCGTTCGTCGCTCCGGCCCTGTTCGTTCGTCGCCCCGGTCCTGCTCGTTCGTCGCTCCGGCCCTGTTCGTTCGTCGCCCCGGTCCTGCTCGTTCGTCGCCCCGGTCCTGTCCATCGGTGGCCGAGGCGAGGCAGGCGGGCGTCGCGACCGTGCCTCCCGCGGGTGCTCGGACGCAGGCCGGCCCATCTGCACCGGGCGCTCGGCGAAATACGGCCCGTTGCCGTCATATTCGGCACGAGTTGTGGCGCCGCGCCTCTGCAGGCGACCGGTGCGAGGCAGCGCGGCGCGGCGCGGCGCGGCGCGGCGCGTGCGCCCGCCGCCCCGGTCACCCATCGATCGGTGCGGAACGGCCGCCCGGCGCGGCCCAGTCAACCGGGCCGGCTCACCGCACCAGCATGGAGAGATAGTGCACACCATGACGGCGACGCCGGGGACGCCGCACCTCAGCGCTCTGCTCTGCCTCACGCTCCTCTGTCTTCCAAAAGGTGGGTGCCGGCAGCCCCGCGGCCCGGCCCGCACGAGACGGCCGGCGGGTGTCCGCCGTGCGGGGCGTACAGGGGCGGCTGGTACTGCCCGATGGTCATGGGAGGGTGTTTGGTGAAGATCTGGAGAGAGAAAGCTGCGTGGACTCGCTTGAGACTCTCTGAGACTGAGTTTTGCCATTGGCCCCGTGGAAGCGGCTGTCGTCCTCAGCGGCCTGCGGACAGCTCGGCGGTAACCAGTCATGCCGGTGTGACCTGGCCATTTCAATGGTGGACTGTCATCTGTATATCTGAGCAAGATTATTCGGACAGCGATCTGCCACCACCACTAGCGACTCTATTGCGCCGATTCATTCGCCCCATTGGTGGCCAGTTACCGTCATCGTTGACTATCCTGCTGTGGCGACCGATATCCACCAATCACCTCACTTCGGTCACAGGCTTTTCCAGAGGTGATCCTTGCCCTTCAGTCGTTCCCTGACCTCTCCGAATAAGCCTCGCCTGCCAGCCGCCTCTATCTAGGACAAATCATCCCCAGACGCGACCGATATCCGCCATGGTGAGCACAGCACAGCCAGTGGTGACTAGGCCCTGCCAGTGGTGCACTGGTACAACAGCGCACGTCTTTGTAACGGTGAGCCACCTGCCCGCGGCTGGCTGTGTCTCTTGAGAGGAAGCTGGGCTACCCCAAACCCAGCCTGCGCTTCCCGCCGCCGCCCACCGCCGTCCACGGCGGGGGCCCGCGCCGCGGCTGCCTGTCCGGCGGGCGTCCGGACAGGTGACGTCCGCCGGCCCAGAAGCCGCTCGAGAGAGCGGTCGGGCCAGGCCAGATGAGCTCTGGGACGGGGCGGCTCCCAAGCGGGCCGCCGTCGCCGGACCCGCCTCGGCCATCGGCCGTGCCACGCAAACACGATCCCGTTACGGGCTAACTCGGTTAGCGCGCTCGCCATCCGCATCTCGGCTGCGCGTCCTCGGACGGCGCTGTCGCGAGCTGCCGACAGCCGGCGCGGCCGGCCGGGGCCGATCTGCGGCCAAAAAGGCTCGATCTCGACGCTATCTGGGTCGCCGGAGCAGCGAGCGAGCGCCGTTTCCGGCTTTAATTAAATCCGGGGACGGCCGTTTGTTTACGGAAGGCCGGCGGAAATGTTGGAGAGAGATCGGATCGCCTCTCCAAATCCGCACGCACACCGCCGGGCTGTCGAGCAGGGCTCCACTTGGCCGATGTCACCTCTCTCGTGTGCTGCTCAGGTCATGATTTTCAGTCGCGGCTAAAATACTAGAAATGAACCATATGTGAAATGGACAGCTGCATCCATCTATGACACATAACGGCAGCATCACCACCCATTCTGAATAATTACACGGCGCATTTTCGTAACGGGAAATCCAGTGACGGACCTTTCTTCGGGCATTGTTTTTATCTGTTTTTGCTCTTGAGAGTTTTGTTAGTCTCTTTCCCATTGTCATATTATCCTAACGCATTGCCAGTCATTTCCCGTATTTTTCCATTAACTTCCTGGGATCTGAGGAGCGTGGTTATGCCTGAGCGATATGATATGCCCGAAGCGTTATCCAGCGACTCAGGGTAGGATTGCTTGAACAAACGAAATGACTTTTGACCCAACTGACATGGCAAGGTCAGCTGGTGACCGGCCGAAGAGAGCGGACCACATACTGGGCGGCCACGTCGTAGCGTTACACGACGCAAAAAAGAATTGTCCGCGGTCTCGTCTCGCCTGAATCTCGGGGTGGCAAGCTATCCAGCAAGCTGGAACGGCGCGATTTGGTCGGGGAGTTCAGGGCAAATGAAACAATCTCCGCCCCGCAGTAGTTTTCGACGCTACGCCATCCATGCAAACTGGGTGAATTTTCGTATCATGAATGGCATACAAAGTGTGCACGATATCACCCATCGCTTCACGTTTCATTCTCGCCCAACAACTTTGCCGACGTTTGGTTTCTACACCAACTGACAGTCGATGTCCCCCGTAAACGACTGTCTCTTCTTTTCTGAACCGCATTGCGGCTATCAGCTGGCCTGTAAACAATGGCTTTGCCAAACCATCGGTTGGCTTTAAAAGGTTTAGGCCCGATGCAGATACATAAATCGACTTAAGCTCTGCCCAGCGGCATCGATTATGCAAATGGTTGTTTTGTGTCCCATTCGGTTGGCATGCTTACCAGCCTCAAAATTTAAGAGCCAAAGAAGGCGATGCCTCGAGACATTCGTTCTGTGCTTTTAGGTTGTCAAAACCGCTTTCTTGGTTCGTTGGAAGGCTTCAGCTGCTGTTCAGAAAACATTTTTCACGGTTGATTTGAGTGGGCATGGCGGAATACACAAGAACGATCAGCTAGAAGTTGATATTCCGCTAACAGTAGACCTAGACAGCATTGCTTGAATATTGCGGCGGTGAGATTTACTGTTTGTCTTTCTATTCAGCGATATGCATGAGGCTGCAATGATTTGTGCGAGCGTTAAACTCTATTACCAGCACATTGACGAGTGCTAATACCGCGGCCTCAAATGTGACGAACGTGCTCAAAATTGATCAGGTCGTAATGCTGTCCGCTTTTTGTCGTCGCATTTGCGTCATAGTTCGAAATAAGAGGACGCACGCCAGAGCGGATTTTTAAGGTCAACACGGTCTGGTTCGCCATCACCTGTACCGAATCTGTCAGTCAGACGGTATTGAGCTAGAAAGGCTTAAGGTGAACTGTACGTTATCCTATAATACGCAACTGATTGATGACTGACTGATTGGGTTGGAATCCTCTGGCGACTACAGGGCAAGGGGGGATTCTGACTCTCATAATACTGATCGTGTATCCATACCACGGGCGCCAACGAAGGCGCATGCTCTAACACTTCAAAATCATATCACAATATTAGCGGAGATCGAGGGTGAAAACCAGGCCACACCAAGGGTAACGCAGCAGCAAAACCACATCGTCCCATCGATGTTTGTTTTACTCTTCCCGCCCCAGTGACGTAGTTCGTGGCAAGTGTGACAGGCTTGCTGATGTGTGTCCAATGGGCGCAAAAATTGCCTTGTTTGGACATCATTGTTAATATCGCGTGCCTTCTCATGGTGAACTGGTCTAATGTTATGCAGTGTGACTGACCACGGCTGCACACAGTGACAAAACAGACGATAAATGACGTAAATGAAGTCCAAAGCATGCCAGCTACAATAGCGCGAAAGGAAAGTTGAGCCCAGTAACGTTCAACGTGTAACGACACCCGGACTGATGCCATTGGCCGCTGGGCGCTTATATGTGTTGATCGGACGCGGGGGCGGCGAGGAGGCCGGGGGTGGACTGGACGCAGCTGTCCCAGCAACTCGGGGCAACATTTACGAAATGCGCAACGTTTGATAGCTAGCCCTAGGGTAGCGTATCGAAGAAAACTATGTCAAATCCCGTTTGCCGCCTGTCCCCTCTTCATAGAGACTCATCCACCAGTAATCTGACAAAGCAGTATCGTTCATGCCTATGCGTGATTCGCATACAGGCGCACTTCCGTACCTGGGCTGACGTAGCTATGTAGCTATTGTGCTTATATGTTGCTGATGACACGGGACTCGAGGGCCTTCTCAACAATTTGTGTCAGGGACGATGCTTATTGCAATATCCAAATGTGACGTGCACTCCGAACCTATCCTCACACTGGCAATGGAACAGGTATTGGCACAGCCTAGATTGTTTTAACTTGCTAAATGTGACGGAAATGACCCAACGATTCGCCAAATTCCCTACCTTGTCCAAATGTCCCCACCCACGCCTCCTCCCATTCCGCTCGCTGCTGTGCCCCGTCTTGGCCCTGTCGTACACCGCGGTCAGTTTGTGACCTTCTTTCGTCATCTGAATACAAGAACGAAGTGGCTTAAATCCCAGAGATCATTATTACGCGGTAGGTTAGGTCGAAATCCGTGTTTGGAATCGGCCATAACGTTGGATATGCCCCCCTCCCCGGCTGCCACTCACACATCTTTAAAAGATCCTGCCCTGACGGTTTACACGTGGTCCGCTACGTACATGGAAAATGAAACGTTTTTATTATTCCTAAAACATACACTGGCAAACTGACAGTTTGCTCCAGTGTGTGGAAGATTTTATTGACAGTGCTGTCGCTCCCACATCAAAAATGCATAACCCAAAGGAAGCAGTGGCTCCCAAACAACGATCCGAGCAATACCTCCGGAAGTATTTCAGATGTAAGATATTTTGCATGACGTCCCTGCAGAGAGAAGCCACAGCCAAAGGGTTCTACGCACGATGCGTTGTAACATTGTATCAGCACATTGTCAATTCATGAAACGAAATGGACAAACCAAAGGTGGTGGATGCCCACAAATATCTTTTTTATTATCCACACTCCATAATCGACATCTACACTCCATTAATCCACTATCCACACTCCATAAGGCGCACCACACGGTTGTCATGGAAACTTAATAGGTTTACTCCTTGTGCGGCAGGTAATATGCCAACGGCCCGATTTCTTCAACATTGCTGCTAGGCCCCCGCTAACTCAATGATAGCCCTATAGCTAACCATTGCCGCCAGATTTTCTGAGCATCATTAAGTATACGCCGCATAACGGCTTTTTAGAATGAAAACGTCAATTTTTAGGCACTGACCTAGATGAGTTATAGTATAAACGAGTTTTATACCAGCCTTTTTGGAATACCCTAACGTCAATGCTCCATAATAATTTGATATCATGCAGACATTAATTTTAAGGCACCAACATGTATGAGGTATAATATATTAAGGAGAACTGTCCTTGGCTTTAGGGATAAAACTGCATTCAGCTGTCGCACTAAGTATTCATTGGTCTATTTAAAATGGCCGTAGCATGTTGCTGAGCATTCAGGTACCTTTGCTTTCCTCGGCCCTCCAAACCAAAATTCCGATCAGCGTTTCGCGAAGATAAAAGCCCGTCAAACGCGTGACCCGCCTGAACCCTCTGAGTTCCTGAAGCTAAAACATTTCTGGTTACT